GGTCCTTTTTGAAAACCCCCCCCCCCCCCCCCCCCCCCCCACCTACCTGTTCCTGGTTGCCTACCGATCGACCTGCGTTCCTGTCTACATCACTTCGGTTGATCTGACGAAAAAACCAACACGGTTCCATATGGAAAAAAACAAACAAACGAAAGCTGAAAGGAGACCTCAGAACGTTGTACGCCCTTGACCGAATCCTGGGAGTTGTGGAAGATTCCTCCGAAGACACAGCCACAACAGAAGCAGGGGCAGCTAAGCAACAGAAGAAGAGGAACGGGGGTGAAAATGAAACGAATACGAAAGAGGAGGGCGAAGAAGACAAGGAGAAGGGGGAGGAGGAAGAGGAGGAGATAGACGAGATGCCGCTGGTTTGTGATGTATGCGGGAAAACTCCGGACGTCGAAGTGAGTGCTCGAACCGAATGGGGGCTGGGTTCGCGTGAGACGGCCGACGGGGCGCGTCGTTAACCTTGCTGACCACTGCTATTGAATACCCGTACCCGTGTTTTTGTTGCAGCCAATTCGACATCCCCCAAATATGCGAGGCAATGGTTTGAAGCATGTGGTGTCGGACCCGTGTATTGGATCGTTGCTAGGCAGCTATCAAATGCCGTTACTGTAGTTTCCTCTTCGTTTTCGGTTTGGTTAACACGTTTCGCTCCCGCGCCCCTTTTTTCTTTTCGTTTTCAGTGCGAGGAATGCGGCACCGTGTACTGCTCCAACACCTGGGTCGGCAACCCCGGGTGCTTCATCAGAGATCACGAGCGGGGGAATCGCCGCAAACACACCAAACGCGGGTAAGTCCAGCGTAGTAGAGGGTGCTGTTTGAAATAGGGCGAAACATAACATAGTACATCTACTGCCGGGAGGAGAGATTCTTGAAAATCAGACCTGATGGACGAAGAAGAAATATCGCAACATCGAAGGGAACACGAAAGCGCCCGGTCCTTCGCATGCGCCTCAGGTGTTTCCACCCTGGGAAGTGTGCCCAAGGCGTATGTTTCAGTTTAGATCGGTGATGCGCTGAAATAGGTCTGTGGCGTCTAACCGTGGCCTTAGACAAAGAGACCACGTGAGGCTGCCGAGAAAAGTTTCCCTCTCTGTCTCCCTCCCTGCCTGTCTCTTCAAACCTCCTGCATCGCACAAGTTGAAGTCGCGCCGACCAGATAATAGAGTGAGTTGAAAGATGGGTACGCCGTGGGGCACAACGGCATCGAGCACGGGGTTGGATCGGCCGGATATTGTGCTGACTTGGCCTTCCTCTCCCGTCTATGTCAACGCAGATACACGCACGCAAAGGACTTGTTGAAAAGGGCAAAGAGGAAGGAGAAGGAGGAGAAGGAGCGAAAAGAGCGGGAAAGTCGCCAGAACGGGGAGGCCCGCCGGGACGAAAAGGCCAACAGAAAGCGGCGCCTGAAACTGGCTCAAGAACGCGAGGTGAGCACCGGCTCCGTCGAAATAAAAGAGCTGTACCGCACGTTAGCTCTGAATCCGCCCCCACCTGTTCGTAGCAAGAGCAAACTCCACTTCGACCGGCTGACGCTCCCCGCCCCTCATGACTGTCCTGGGTCTCGGAATAGCACGGGGTAGTCTGGACAACCATTTCAGCGTTGTTGTTTTGGCGCGCGATTGTTGCTGGTGCTCTTCCCGCTCTACAATTCGCCCCAACCCAACAGTTGGCGCGCGAGCTGAGGCTTCAGAAGGAGGCCAAGAAGGAGCTGAAACGACGGATTCGTCGCCGCAAGGCCCGGGCGGCGGGCCTCAACCCTTCTCTGCTCCCCAGACTCAGGGTCAAAGCAACGGAGTTTGCAAGCAAGCGAGGCTTTTTCTTGTCACAACACCCGAATTTTCTCTCCGTTCGAATACCTCCCGGCATTGCGATGACCACGCGAAGACTAGTGGATGCCCTCCGGGGGCATGAGAGGGCGGCGGGTCGAAGGGACATTGATACTATTGGTGGTGACGGTAGGGGTAGAAGAAGTCCGAAGGGAGCGGCGAGAGACCGAAGCAGAAGTAGGACCAGAAGCCCGGCCAAGAAAAGGCATCGAAAACGCCTGAAATGACCTTAAGCAGTGAATTCGTTCGTGGATACTGACCGGGTTGCCGCGGGAGCGACGAAGAGGGCTCGACATCAAACAATAGCTGTGACACCGACAACGTACCCGTTCCGCGAGCAGGACCTGATGCCCAGTCGAAGGGTGGCGTATGGCAAAGAGGTTTTCGGACTCTTAAGAATTGCTTTGGCTTGAGTATACGGGTTGAACATACGGCCGGTGGTTCGTTTGTTTTACTTTTGGGTTCAGGCTCGTTTTTCGTTGGTGTGTATCGTACTATTTGTCGTGCGTTCTGATAGTACTTTTTGGGTGTAGTCTTTGATAATCCCTTTGATTTGAGTTCCTATTCGCTTGATTGGGCTCGACGGGCCAATGTTATGCCAGAACAAGCAAGACATCTGCAACCAGTTGTGCAAATGTGTGCACCAGTTCCTTTGCCGGCTGTGGCGTTGAAATGCAGTGGCTTTCCACAACCGCACTTAAGACATTGGCATTGATGATTCGCCACATGAAAACCTAAACTACAGCTTGTGGTGCGAATCGGTTTGAAAATATCCTTCCCCCAGATGCAAAAAACTATCGCCTGGGAGCTAAATCTTCTAGCAGAGGAGGGGGGCTGGGGAGGGGGAAAGCACATCCCGGCCAACTCCACACCTCGACGACTCCAGCTTGATCATGTTTTGGAGGGGGAGCTCAAAAGCACATTACGGTAGCTGGCGCGCCCTCCTCGGGTTCGTGCCGACGTTCAACCCAGATCGAGAGAAATTAAATGGTTCCAGATGTTGCTCTCACACGTCCGTAGGCTACCCACCCTCCGAAAGTTATGAACGAGTGGGTGCTAATGCCTTGCAGGCAGTCCTTGCCTACGCGAGAGCACGTGCCTCGTGCAGTATGTGCATCTCACGTACTTCCGCCGAAGCATAGGATTTGAATGTAGTGGCACACTCCGTCCGTATATGTAATTTTCTGTTGTATCCACGCTGGCCACTCCTTTCTCGCTTTCTATCGCGGCGGACAAGTGGTTTGGGGTACAATATGCATACGCATTGACTCTGTTTTATGCGCCTAGACGATCGATCACCTTCCTTACCCCAAATCTCTCCTCCCTCATCAGAAAAAAGTCGTGTGCTGCAAGGGTTGGTTTGGACACATTTTTTCGCACACCTGCCCCCTCTCTCTCTTTCTCCATATCTCTCTCGCCCGTGGCGGCGGGAGGGCACGGGGGAAAAGAAGAGAAGGGGATGGGATTCAGAAACGTTTCGGGGCTACCCCCGGGGCTGTTGCAGAGAGGGCAGGTCTACGACACCACCCCCTACAGAGGGCGTCACTTACCAAAGAATATTGCATGACCGCCGAGCACGTATTTCGTATTTTGCCACGTTCTTTTGTCGGACAGGCATATATTCTACCCGGCTAACCCTGGGATTTTCTATTGTTTTCGTTTCAACAACGAGTGCCCCATGTTGGACCTTCATGTCTAGCGTATTTATCCGTTGCTCACGAGCCTACTAGTACTGCAATGCGGGTTTCCACTACCAATGTACGTTCCAACGGCAGCTTCATGCTGCGGGTGCCGCCATGGTCTTCCTCAAGTTGTGCACAGTAGCCATACTGCCGCGTTTGGCTCCGTTCCTACCCTAAAATAGCAATATAGATTGGTGGATTCTTGGTCTACCTCCGGAGCTTACTTGATATGTTCAAAACCTAACGAATTCCTACCTGCCTATCTCTTAACTCAAGCAAAGAAGGAAAAAGTCAAAAGTGCCAAGACATAACGGGCAGAGACCCTCTGATATCCAGAAACTGACTGATTGTGTCTTCCCATGAAGGTAGAAAGTACATTGCTGCGTTCCAACTCGAGATTCAAACGGCAGTACCGGTGGTTGTATCAGAGCGTGCACGACAGTCGAATGGATGTGGGATGAGCCTACATATAGAACTTGAGCAGTTGTGCTGTTGGTGAAATATTTATAGGCTTCAATGTGTACGTGGCGTACCCCACCCACCCGCCCTACTGGTCTAGGGGGAGACGATGAGCGGTCCAACTCCTGTGCGTGGCCCGTCTCCAAGACCCTTTATTCCATCCGCGGTGAATTCGACGCAGTTAAGGAATCAGGAGTCAGGACGTGAGCTAAGCGCCTACGTGGAAAGGATTCATGCGCCGCTGTTTGACAAAAGAGGGGTTTTATGTGCAAGTGTCATAAGGTTTTTTAGGTACGAGAGCGGGTGCCCGAAGCGTGTCATCATGTACGTACCTACAGCTTACCTCTGTGTCGTTGTTGTTGTTGTTGTTGTTGTTGCCACCACTGTCACTTCTACTTCTTCTCTATTTGTTGGTTGCTGTCTTGTCGTCGTTTTCGTTGTTGTGTATTTTTTCCTGATAGAATCTCGAGAGAGTACCTATTTACGATAGATCTATGGGCATCGACCCTCGCTCGGTACCCCCATTCCCTCCCCTTCTGCCCAACCTTCACCCGTATCACTACAAATAGCCCACTTCACTTAAGAACTTAGTCTAGCGGTTAAGAAATTTTGAACCTCGAAAAATTCAGAAGCTAAGAACTTGAGCACCGGTTAAGAACCCCTACACTACAACCTATATAGCGGCCATTTGTAGCCCACAAGAGGAACTAAGTACCCCAGCCTCGGCCGAAGCTAGAGGTTCTTTAGTGCGGGCGCTATCTGTACTACACATGCTTCCCCCCAGGCTGCTTTCTCCGTGACAGCTGCCCATGCTTCCCGTAGGCATATACATACTGCCAGCGCTGCCCCCTTGGCTGCTGGTTCGCCGGTTTCTTTTGAGGGAGGACTTGCGTGAGTGGCACTTCTTCTTCGACGCGGGAAGCTGGTTGAGGCAAATTACAACGCAGCTGCAGTTGTCGCCAGACGTTATGAGAGCCTGCGTTCGGTCGGTGGAGTCGGGCTAGGTTCGGTTAGGAGGAGAGGTTTGTTGGGATGAGGTTGTATTGTGAGGCGGGTCGGTGATGCTACTTTCTGTTCTATGTTTATTTTGTCGCTAATGAGGACGAGGGGAGGCCTCTGTCTGTCAGGGAGGGGGAGGGGGCGCAAGAAACGAAGCCTGTGGGCAATGAAATGATTTTGCCCGACGAGCAAATAGTGCAACTCCCATCTGACATGTTCATATTTCTGGATGTATCCAAATTCTTCGTTTTGGTATTGGTGGCGTGCCGCATATACTTGACGGTCACAGTCATCAAAGTGAGGAAGCACGTGTGGTGACAGGACTTTGGGTTGCGTTGTTGTTGTTTTGGCGCCGTGAAGAGCTTGGTACTTCATGCGCCAAGTGGATCGAAATGAATGTCGAAACACATCGCCAACGGAACCCGGCTCTGACACGAAACCCGTGTGTGGATACCCTGGCTCGACTCCAAACTGTCTTGGAGAGGGAGATACGAGCGCAGCGAACTTGCGCTGTGATATGTCCGGGTGTTCATATGCCCATGGGTATTTCGTTTTTCCGCAGACAACGTACCTTGTCGATGAGCTCAACAGCCGCTCGCTGCACGTCCCTGTGGGTGAGCAGCCTCCGGTGGACGTAAGACACCGCTTCTTGGTTGCTCAGGACATCCCAGACGCCGTCGCAGGCCAGGATAAGGAAGCTGTCTGTCTCGGTCAGCTGGATGGAGTGCACCTCCGGCCGCGAAACGATTTGCTGCTCGTCCCACAGGCCGTCCCCTTCATGTGGGGGGTACACCTAGTATCCCGTGGTTTGCGTTGTTGTTCGGATACAGACGATGCATGCAATACGGCAGTTCGGGAGGGGGGGGCGAAGTTTTTTTGCGCAGGGACGGTAAACGGGAGGCATTACTGCGGTGTTCGTTTCGCATCTGGAGTCTAGAGTAAGCCCGTAGGCCAAAACGCATTATTGTTCCTTTGCAGGAGAGGTTACAATTTCCCCATGATTTGACAATAACTTTTCAGAATTTTTCTAGGTGTCGAAGGTTGAGAAGTGGACGCTAAAAATCGGGAGGACGTGTGCTCATTTGTTTGCTTAGCTCAGTGTTTTGTTGAGAGTAGGCATTCCCTGAGACGATGTCCGGTTTGTCGCCGAGCGACTCTCGCTTTGTGACGGGGCTGACTACACATTCCCCTCTCTCTCTTCCTCTCTCACTCTCTCTCTCTGCTTGTTAATTGTACACTTCATTTTGGGTGCTTTGCTTCACACGTGCTGACAGCTGGTTGCAGGTGGGGAGGAGGGAATCTTTGGCAAGGGTTTGGGCGCGAGGACGAAAATCGGTGAAAAAACGACAATCGCAAGCGCAACCATCCAAGAGAACGTCACGATGTATTGATAAATACATGGCAAACCAGCCAATTACCCATGTACGACTCGAACAACTCAAACAACGAGCAGCGAACTACGTGCAATCGGACAGAAGTGTCAACGCAAATCAGAAACCGCGGGGAAATCGGTACCTAGAGCAAGCTTCGCAGATGAGTACATTAGTGTGTGCTACCTTGCAGTGGATATCGCCAAACGACCTAGACACGCCCAGGATCCCGTTGACCCGGCCGCGGGACACGAACCCTCCGGCAGCTTCCACGCGCGCTGCTTCGGACGGCACGGAAGGCGTGTGGTCCCGCGTGATCGCGACCGCACTGCCGCCCCTACAGAGCACCGCTCGGCAGTCTCCCACGTTTGCGACGTGCAGAAACACGGGCAGTTGCTGTTGGCGCTTGTTCAGAGAAGAATGACGAGAAGAGGAAGAAAGAGAGGAGGAAGAGCACTGTCTGAGGTGTGGTGGCTTCTGCTCTTGCAGCGGCGGCGGCACTTCGCCTGCCGTTGTCACGGGGGGCGCGGGGGGTCGGTGGACGATCGCCATCACCGCCACAGCCCCAGAAAACGTCTGTTCAGTCTTCTTCTGCTTCTTCAGCGAATTGGCAGCGAAAGTTGATTTTTCGACCACCTGAATTGGAAACCAGCGGAAGAGGGAAAACACGAATAGCGGTTAAAGTAGCACTCCTGGTTATTATTACGTGCGACATTTCTTGACCATGTTCCCGATACGAGGAAGTTTGTATCTGGTCTCCTAAGCTGCTGAAGCCGATTGGATCAAGGGTGAAACCGTATTGAACATCACATGCCAGACCCCGGTAACACTCCTCCTACCGTAGTTTCATGCAGAGAAACGGCGCGGGGAGGGTGGCCCCGGCTCCAAGACTCGTGAGCTAGAGACACTTAGCCAGCGACCAGAGAGAATGACTCACCTCCGGGCCCATCTGGCGCTTGCTGTCGCTGATCTCGAGGCACTCTTGATCCATCTCGAGACATCCGTCACATATAGCCTGGTGTTCCAAACCACCGTCCATCGAGTCCGGAGGTACGACAACGTCAGAAAAGTGTGTGGTCATGTGGGAGGGGTGATCCAAAAGCAATGTTTGTTGTTCTACGTACAGTTCCCATCTCCTTTTCGTGTCGTTGTTCCGGAAGTTCCGTCCTTTTTTCCATGCATTCTCATCTTACGTGCGTCAATCTGTTTTTGCTTGGGCTCCTGTGGCGGCAGGAGAACCTCGCCTGAAGGATCGCATAACGCCGGTGTTGAGAGATGCCACCAGGGATTTCCTCGAAAATCGTAGCGACGTGCTGGCTAAGTACCTACTGCGTTTCTCTCTAGGCTTGGGAAGCGAGGCAAGAGATATCTTTTTCGGACATCCTCCAGGATCAACACCAGGTCAATGCATGTGTTTTCACCATTCGTGCTGAGTTCGGTCGGGTAACAAGATTTGTGGTTTCCCTCGGGGAGGATCATCTCATGCAAGTCCTGGAATTGGTGAAGTCTCCTGCGGTGACTGGTTGTCCCACCCCGCACTTGTTTTGAGGCAAATTATGAGCTCGCATCGTGCCAACACTCATCCCAAACTTACTTATATGTTACCGAGACTTTCCTGCACATGCGGGAAAAGCAGTCATTGAGGTCGGCGATGAAAAGCTACGCATGATCATACTAGATGGCGAGTCTACCGCTCTTGCTCCCGGCGCGGTGGAGAACCAAGGCCTACGGGAAACAGAAGCGACCTCCACAGCACCCATTGGTGATCATAACAATTGCTTCTTGTTTCTCTTCAGTACCTGTGGAATGTCCGACGGAAAGTTCGGGCTATTCAGTACCCGAAGGTGTAGGGCATCTTGGAGGCGCGTCGCCACGTCGGCTCCACCGTGACCTTATCGTGTGCGTTAATTTTGGCCGGGTTGTTTTAGTCAGCCATGCGTTCCGTCGTTTACAGAAGGAAACAAGCGCCATGTGCAACAGAGAGGACGTAGAAGAAAGGAATAGTCAGTCAAAGGCATCGATGGGGTCTCGATCTTCGCGCCCCTAGCGTACCGGGCATAGAACATGGCGGGCGTCAGCCGATCCGACCGGCTTTGCACTCGGCGATAGGCGGTGTCATGTGTTTTTTTGGTGAAAGGCAAGAGGTCGCATGTGGTCAGGATGAAAAGCAGATTAGCAGAAGAGAAACACAAAAACGGTGGTGGCATTTTGTGCACTGTTTCTATTTTCTGTGTTTCGCCAGATTATTTCGCCAGGGCGTCCGGCCCTCTGCCCGACATAATTCCTTTTCCAGACAGCTTCTCGTATTCCTCAACGCCAATGCCTGTTTCCCCCGCGGAGTCGACCTCTAGTCCGGAGCCTGTTCTACCTCTTCGAAGCATTTATATACCATGGCATGCCTGGTCATGATGCTGTTGTTCTTGTTGCCCTACACGAAACAATGTTCCGTTTTTTCTGCTCAACACCTCTAACATCCGTACTCTGGCCCGATTGGACGCTGGCGCCTTCTGTAGTCACAAGCTAAAGTTGGTGAAACGTCGAATGGTCGTAAAATGACTCTGAAAATCACCACGAACGCGATAGTATCAAAGGGAGAAATAGGGCTCCAGGAAGTCAGATGTCGTAGGCAATACCTCCGGACAAAGGGCAACCCAACATATTAGAGCACGTCATTGGCACTCGACGCGCGGCACGCGAGGAAAGGAAAAATAAACAAGCATGGCGGACAAAGATCACCGACCGATGTACATGTAGATAAACAGTTCGTACCGCATACACAAGTTTTACAACGGTCGTAAACCGGCAACAATTCCGGGAAGAACACACTTGGTGCACTCTCACGAAGTGTCCATACGGCAAAACTGGAGTCATTCGTACAAAAATGTGCTGCTATGCTGCTATCTGTACGCCGGGTCTTGTGTGATCCCTTTCCCAGATGCGCTTTTTCCTTTCCCGAGTTTTCCATTTACTAGAGAATGCTGAACCTAAACTAAATCGTAGTTACATGCCAAATACAGCAACCTCGAAAAGTGCGACACTGCTGCACATACGCACCGTCGAATAGGCCAAAGTATGAGGCGGCCTCCGGCGTTCCCGTTGGCGCCGTTGATGTTGCTTTGGTGGTTGCCGTTGCGGCAGTCTTTGTCAACGTCGCAGCTGTTCCAAGAGCAACAGCGGGCACCGTTCCTTTGGCCGCCGTCGCAGTGGCAGTTTGAGATCCGACTGCCGACCCAGACTCTGGACGTTGCTCTTCCGACGGCAATTCGGGCGGGCTATTCGTGGTGCCGGCACCATTGCTGCCTCTGACAACGCTGAAGGCATCGGTCAGGCATGCCATTGTGTCTTCCATGCAGTAGCGCTTGCCTTGGTCCAGGGAAACGCCGAAGCGAACTCCCACGTCAAGGTTCACCTTGATTGGAGGTGGATTGGAGATTCAGACAAGAGAGCTTCTGCAGCCACCGGAGAAATGCAAACACTTCAACAATACCACGTCGAAGAGATCTTATCATTTTTTTTCCGCGCAAATGTCGTGGAACTCTGACACCCTGCCGTTATGGAGCAGTCCGGTTCAGTGACCACCACCATCCATCCCAGAATGGGTATTTTCCATTCTCTAGCGCCATACAGCTGCAACGCGTTCGCCCTTAGCACCGGGCCCGCGTAGTTCGAAATGTACCACGATCATCACGGGATGGAATTCATGGCCCATATGGAATGGCGATCCATGCCATGCTTAGATTGAACATGTTGTTCCAACCGACTTGTCCCGCGCACGTGCCCAAAATCTGCTGGTGTGGGCCTCTGCCGTGCCTCAGTTAGACACGAACCCCCGAAATCGTGCTACGAACGTGTCCCAGTCTACGGGCTTCAAAATGTGTTCTGGTGTCTGTAATATATCATTCCGGGGGGAAATCAACGCCCAAGAAACAACGATACGACTTGCACAAGGTCGTACGTTGTCGGTACTTCGAATTGCGTACCTGTCCCGCCCAGGCCCTGGCCTGCACGTGCCCCAGGAGTCTATTCTCGCCCCCCGAGGAGGACGCAGTCCTGGAGAGTTTTGAAAGTTTGGCGCCAGAGCCCGCGGTCAGCGCGAGGATTTCCTGGTGGTCAAGATCCCGTAGCTCCGGGTCTTCTCGCGCCACCCCCTGAGTAACATTTGAAGCCTTTCGTTGAGTTTCGAGAACAATCACGTCCGGATGGGATCAAAACACTACCGGCATAAGCCCTCAGGACCTGCTTCTTCCTGGGTACTGTTGCCAGACAGAGCCATAGTCTCCTGATGACGCAGTGGAGACGGCCTGCGACCTTAAACTCGAACCTAACCCAAACTATTCGCTAAGGCCGTGCAGGTTGTCCCTTCACTTACGTTCCCGATGAAGTCAAGGCACTCCGTGATGTCCGCCACGCTCAAGGACTCTCCCATCCCGTCGCTGCTGCTTTCGTTCTCCGAGTTCCCGTCCCCGGCGCCGGAATCACCCTCCTTGCCGCTTTCACTGGCTGCGGTCAAGCCTTCGCCAACGCGACCCTCTACTCCGCCCTTGGCGCCGCCGATGCCGGCGTAAGCACAAATGAGCTGATAGCTTCTGAGGTCGTTTCTTCGGGTCTGCGGGCCTGCTCCGTTGCGCCACCTCTCCATTCCCCAGTTGCTGCTCTCGGCACCCGAGCTGCCTACGTAGCTAGTGGTCGAGTTGTTTTCCGCGAGGCCCGTGCTGCTGTCCGATACGATTCGCAGGCTGCCCAGATTACTCCTGGCTTTGGCGTCGGACATCCCTGGTGGGGTGGAGTGCCCCCCCCTGCGCGTTCAGGTTCAAGACGACCCGGACCACAAGTATTAGCAGCGAGTGTGTCAACCCTTCTCTTCTCGATGCCGCCACATTTGATGGTGACCGAAACCAATATGTTCAGAGTTGAGTGCCACATTTGTTGTAGCGAAGAATCGGCAACAGGAAGCCATGGGCATGAAACTTCTTGGTATCGCCTGTTCAAAAGGTCCCATCTGCAACAAGGCCCGTTCGCGTGTTTCGAGATCTGAGCAACTAAATATTTTCCTAGGAAAATTCAAATGAGTGCATCCGAGAAGCTCGCACCTAATCCAAAACCCACAAGTTATTCCTGTAAGCGGCCTTTGTTCCGCGCAAGCACTCACATGTGGAGTTCTTCTGGCTCTTCTTCGTCGATACATCCCATCGACTCTTCCTTCCCGGCGAGCAAAGCAGATCGGGATACAGTCTTCCTTCTCTCGATCACGCCCCCCCCGCTGCTACCGCTCCCCACCCTTCTTTCCGAAGGGTTGCCCCCCGATTGTGAATGGTCGAACGAACGCTCTGCCGCTCCTCCCCCTTCTCCCTCCGCTCCTGCTGATGTCGGTGGTTTTTGGAACTTGGAACGCAAGGGTGTTGCCGTGGTCGCCCTCGTGAAAGTCTCCTGCTCTTCCTCGTCTGAACGGCCGGCAAAAGACCCGTTGCTGCTGCTCTTTACGGACATACTACTGCTGTTCCTTCTTGGTTCGCCGCCTCCGCTGCCGCCACCACCATTGCGTCGATGTCGATTGTCCAGTGTGGTGCTGAACTTGATGGTGGGGTTCTTTTTCTTGTTGGTGTTGGTGGCGATGTTTCTTGGTGGTGAAAGTAGAGCAAAGGCACTCCTAACGGCTGGGAGGCTCGAATGCGCTGCTCGAGCGACGGCCGCTGCTTGTTGGTTTTCGTGAACCATCCTGGGGTTGTTGTGGGAAGAATCCTCGCTCTCTTGCCCACTGCTTTGATTGTTGTGCGACAACTTGGCCTGAGCGCGTGCGCTAGAGCCTCTATTAATTGACATACAGAACGCCGGAGAAGGGTTGGGTGGGTTGGATGGGATTCATGGAGTCGACTTGCGGACGGCAGAGGGAACCTTACGATCCCGGCAACCAGAACAATAGAGACCATATTTCAGTAGGGGGGTGAGGGGGGGCGCCTCTCTTGTTGTTATTGACTTGGTACGCGGTGCTCGCGTATCTCGTTCGACAGATCTTTTTCTGAACGAGTATCATGTTCTGACCCGCGTAGTGCCTTTCTGTGTACTGCACGCTGCTGTCCTTTCGAGGGCCATTCTTGATCGCACTTTCTTGATATGTGTCAAATATCTCTGGTTTTGTTCTTACCGCTCGAAAATGTCAGCACCAACCAGTTCTTGGGACGCATCGTAAGAACATAGCCCCTTTTGCTCTGGTTGCTGTACATGACAACAAGGACCCCAACCTTCGATGGGAACAGACAGGTCCGTGTGCATGTTATTTGGAAGCAGACGAAACAGCAACACATCCGTCTCGAGGAAGCGTTTTTCCTCCTCACATCCTGGTACTGGTGGCCTTTTCGTCCGGGAAACCGATTCTTCGCCCCAATGTCTTGAAGCCAAGCCCGCTGCCGTGGGCATCGCACTTTGAAACCTTTGCTCTGTTGGCCCGATCACTGCGATGGAGGGGGCAAAGGGCCGGTACGGTGGTCGGTCACGGTCGAGTAGGTTGGTGAGGGAGCAACATGATGCCACAACAAAGCTTCGCACCATTGGCTTACCCATTGAACCGCTCCAACCTCAAGAGACAATCTCACATCTGTTTGTTTCAGGCGTCAACACTGCCACATACGACTATTAGGCAACGTTAGACCAGTGTTGCAGGTAGTCGTGGCAAGGCTCCCGGTAGTAATTCTCCCTCTTCTCTTGTGTGAAACGCTCTCGGGCCTATTCGGTGTGCACGGGTTGGTTCCCTCGATTTGAGTCAGGGAATCAATAGTCAGTTTCGGTGGACGTTTCCGGAACATTGGCAAGAGTCTCGTTCTGAGAGCTAGCACGAGGACGTCGACAAAGAATAATTCCGAGCTCACCCGACTGATGAACGGCGGCTACCAACCTCCCCTTCTGCGGAAGCCCGGAGGGAGCTGACGGCTTTCAGCGACGAAATCACCACCCTCTTGTTGGAGCCTAAGGTGGGGTTGGCCCGTAGCATCAGGAAGTCTGGCTTTCTCACCTGACCGAGAGTTGACCAAGAAACTTCTTTTTCAGCAGCGTAAGCGAGGCAGGGATAACTAGTACCACGCTAGCACTGGTTTTGTTACTCTCATTGAACTTACCAGTTGCTGCGAACGCTCCAGGGCGGATCTATCCGTTAGCTCATGGCGGGCGAATAGGGGAGACGCGCCTGTCGCGCCGATGGCCGGACAAGAACAGACGCTCCTGTAGTTACCCCCGCGGTCGGCTCCTTGACGACCAGGGCCTTCGTAACGGCCGCCGCCGTCGCTGGTTCCTTCCTCTTCGTCGCTCTGCTCAGTGTTCGACGGGATTCGCTGATCTACAGAGCCCAGTAGGGACGGCGAAGAAAGCAAGCTTGACAGCGGCATCGGCGACCTCCGGAGAAGAGCCTGCCCTTCTCTCTTTTGTGGGTGGGGCTTCACCTGCCGCCGCAATGGTGGGATTGCGTTAGTAACGACAGAAGATGCCGTGGCGTTGGGCTCATGCTGCTGGGTGTCCGGCACCGGTAGAGGCGCGGGTCCCGCGCACTCGTTACTTCCCGCAAGTACATTGCTGCTGCTCCTTGTAGCGGCAGCATCGGCCGTGTCGCTCTGGTCGCTTTCCTGGTCCTCTTCCTTGGAGGTGGCGCTGTTGGATGCAGGTGGCGCCACCGGTGTTGCCCTGGCTGAGGCTGGGACCGCACTCGAAGCCGCAATTTCGTCTGGCAAAGTCACGGTAAGGGCGTGAAGAGCCAACCCTGGCGGGAGAAACAAGTGACTGGAACAAGGGACGGCGCAGGAGGGATGCGGGTTGGTCGCGGCCATTATTTACTTCGAGATGAGAACATCCTTTCTCTCTAAGTCTGTGAAGTCGTGATTTAACCGTTCACCAACAGACGTATTTTCTCTCTTGATATGTGGCGAGGAGTAGCAAAGCGTGGCCGAGGTGCTCGGACGTACTAGTTTCAAGAAAGGGTGGAAGGTGAGAGTGTGCCTGCGTGGACACTTCTCCCATATTGGAGTTTCACATAGATGTTTCACTGCATTCGGTGAATCTTTCTTGGCACAATCACCTTCAGATGGCAAAACATTATTCGTTAGTCTACAGATCTTTCCTGGTCGCATGTTCGTCACTACCCCTAGGAAGGTACCTCTATCCTGGTTTCCATAGAGACGAGAAACTTTCTTCACGACAATTGAGCACCTCGTGCGTCTCTACTTACTGTCTTTGCGATAGCAGACTTGAACGTCGGGTGCTGGCGTGGTGTAGCGAAGCCTATCGACTCCTCTATATTTCGAATCGTCGAGACACCCACCCTTTGTCCACGATGTTCTCCAAGATTCTTGGGCTGGCGATCTTGTCGTCGCCGTCGCTCCACACTTCTGGCTCCTCGTCTTCCTTCTCCTCCACCTTCGCCCCCACCTTCGCCTCTTGCCCTAAACAGCGGCGGGCCCCTATCCTACCTCTTCCTTCCTCCCTTGTCTCTCCTCCGTCCGCTGTAGGGTCCGGCTGCTGCTTCCGAATCTGGTCGTGATGCTGCTGGGTTTCTTCCTGTTGACGAGTTTCCGGTCTGGTCGGCGAGGGAGAACGGTTGGACTTAGAACTCGGCGGCGGCGAATCTAAGAACAAAGGTACCGACGAAGTCTTGTTGTCCCCCCGATCCCCTATGCGGCGGGCATGATCATTGTTGAGAGTAGGCACATGGCGTTTGGAGGTGGACACGTTGACGCTGCTTCTGGCCCGCATGTTGCTCTCGCCGGCACCACCGGTGGCGCGACCGACCGCTTTGCCTCCCTCCCCAACGGCTATGTCTCGTACGATGCCGTCACCACCGCCGCCGTCGGCAGGGTGGTGCATGGTAAGATGTACCGCCCGTCGCTGCCACGTGCCCTTGCTTCGCAAACCTGCAACGTGCGGCTCCGCTCTCTCAACCATGCTGGGCACTCCTGGTTGTCCTTCCTCTATCTGTGGGGGGCATACGCCCTCTCGCGTCACCCATTCATGGTTCATCGCTTCTTCCAGGGAAAGTCTGGTGTTCGGGTTCTTGTCAAGCATCCTGTGGAGGAGGTTCACGAGGTACGGCTCTATCTGGCAGTCCGAAGGAAAGGTGAGCCCCTCCATTTTTATCGATGCCATTAGCGCCCTGTACCTGTTGTCGGTTAAGGTGGGGCGGCGGAGGTAGCGTAGCGGTTCACACGCACGCACTTTGTACTACCGTGCGACCGTACACTGTTCTTTTATTGTTGTGTTTCTTTGAATTGCGTCGTTAGTTATTCGGTTTCTAGACCACGTGTTGGGGAGAGAGCCGCACGGAATGCGCATCGTCTCGCCAGCCGCATTGGCTGCGAGGCACGCCGTTACTTTTATAAAAACCCGTCTCTCTTCTCACAACGTACCAGTCGGGGGACTGCGACTGCAAACGCAAGCGTCCCGTAACTGACCAAGTCCTCAAATGGCACACACTACTCTACAACACCCGACAATATACCGATTACTCCCGAAATTATTCCCCCATCCAGAAGAGAAAAGGGATGGGACGGTGGGGTTTTAGCTAGTTGCGTTGGGTTGCTGTCCTTCCGTCTCTTCGCGCGCTCTGTAGCTTCCGCTCGTCACTCAGCTCGCTACAGCCGCTACGTGCTTTCATCCACGAAATGATAACATGGCAATTCATTTTTGCATTTTTGGGTCGTGACCCTACGTTTCCAACAAATATTGAGGCTATAATTCGATGGTTTCACCAATAACCCCCAGTTTATTGTTCTATCTCTTCGACGAATAAACAATCCTATGTTTGATGGGGGAACAACACAATGGATGGTTTCGATGATGTTGTCTTGAATTCATCTCCTCCAAACTCTCTGGTGGTAAGATGTTGGTGCAGTCCACTCACGTTCGTCCGAAGAAGGGCAGCTTGCCGACGACCATCTGGTAAAGCGATATCCCAAGAGCCCAGACGTCGCTAGCAAACGATATCCTAGACACTCCGCCCTCTCCGAAGAGCTCTGGGGGGTGGAAGCTCGGGGTTCCTCCCACGCGCTGTCCGCGTTTCTTTCGACGGTGCCTGCGGCGATCCCGATCTCGATCCCTCCCGCCGTCGTTGGGCGACTCTGCGCCTGTTCCGCTGCTGCTGATATCGCCATCTCCACCCGCGTCCTCAGAGTTTACGATCACGCAGGCACCAAAGTCTGCTATTTTCACCTGTCACAGACAACGTGCAAAGAGGTTAGGCGTAGGGGGGAACTGAAAATTCGCTTGGATAAGCATGGCAGCATCCTCTGGCGGCGTGTTTCGTTTCGCGAGGCGCAATCCATCTCTTCTAGGCTCTCGACTGCGTGCGCGGGGTGCAGCACCGCACTCACTCTGCCCTCGGCGTCTTCCAAGATGTTGGAGGGCTTCATGTCACCGTGGATGATGCCAAAGCTGTGGATGTACTGGAGTCCTCTGGCGGCTTGGATGAACTTGGAAATGGCGGTGTGCTCGGGAATGGGGTCCACTTCGTACTGCTCCTTGAGCAAGGAGCCCCTTTCCATGAAGTCCTGGATCATGTACACCTTCCGCGATCGAGGATCGTCGATAACCTCCCACAGGGTCACGACGTTGGGGTGCCTCAGCATCTGCATCACGGACACCTCTCGCCGGAGAGTCCGTTCCAGGAGCTCACGTTTCTGCCCGCCCCTCCTCGGTTTTGTGATGACCTAGGTTCCGTTGTCATTCACGAAGACGGGGTCGCTTTGGTACAGGTACAGAATACAGATAGTTCAATGTGGCATGCATGGATGATCAGGTGTCCTTTTTGATGTGTGCCGCACAAGGCCTCGTGCTTCTGCAGGTGAACATCAAGACGAACCTTCATGGCGTTGACTTCACCAGTATGCACGTGAACCACCTTGTACACCACTCCGAAGCTGCCCTCGCCGATCCTCTCGCACACGCGGTAGTCGTTGATCACTCGCCCGCTCGTCTCTCCCTTCGTATCTCCCGCGAACGTCAACTGCCCAGTGGATCGGAAGCTTGATCGTGTCGCACCTCGCACCGCCGCCAGTGCCCTCAAGGTGGAAAAGTCGTTCGAAGACCCGACCCCGTGTCTCGGCGCAGCAAACTGGGATCCTTTGTTCGCGACGTGCTGCTGGTGCTGGTGCTGGTGCTGGTGCTGGTGCTGGTGCTGGTGCTGCTGTTGTTGTTGCTGCTGCTGCGGTCCTGAAATATTCTTCCTTTGCTCCCGATAGCAGGCGGTCTGTAGAGCCGCCTGCTCCATAATGCTGTTGAATGCCTTGTCGCAAAGACACGTCCGAAAGACGTCTTTATGTAGGTACATGCAGGTCACCTCAGTCGTCGCGCGGACGCTTGCGTTTCTCGGCTCATCGTAGATCAGTGCCATCTCTCCGAAGCTGTTCCCTTCGTACAGCCTTGTCAAAACCCTTTCAGTCGGAGGGCTACCGACGCATGACCACTCTCGATCGCTCCAACCCGCGACCTCGGGCTGTGACGTGGAATGGTTTGTGGCCCATTTCTCAGCCCTAATGGCCGCCGATGCCGTCGTCATATCATCATGTACAATCACATTGTCGATGACTTTCGGTGATTCTTCGTCCACCACCACCGGAATATCCGCCGCTGCTGACATTCCTGCCGATGCGCCCGCCGCTGCCACCGCTACCCCAGCTACCCCGGGCCGCCTGTCACTTCGAGCCCCTGTACTAACAACAGTTTCTGTCAGCAGCGTTGTTGGGCGACGGTGGTTCTCCTCGGGCGGAAGCCGACGAACTGGTGTATTTTTCTGGACACGACCCTCAGTGAGCGGTAGGAAAACCATTCCAATGCTGTCCTTCAAAACACTGTTTTCGTTACTGCCACCGCTGCTGCCACTGTCATCACCGCCACCGCCACCGTTGACCCACTGTCTTTGGTCGTCAACGGCGGTGGGGGGCGTATCGGCGGGAGGGGACAACGTAGCCACGAACTCGTGTTCATCGGACGAATCTTTGTCGTCCATGTCTTCGACGTCGTTGTCGTCATCGCCGATGTTGCTCGATGATGCGGAAGAAGAATAATCCGAGCCGTGGGAGTCCGCAGTCATCGCGGTAACCGTGACCGTACCGTGCGCTATCATGTAAAACTTATCTCCCGGTTCCTGTCCGCAGGGGACGATGTCGGGTCGGGTCAAGTCGATTGTGATGGCAGGAACGGGTTAAACTTGCCGCCATTGTGGTAGGTGTGCGGGATTGACGAGCATTGAACAAATTTTCCACGATGCCCAGAAACCGATCGGTTACCTTGTCCAGTTTTATCTACGAAGGGGTATACTTGAAGCATTATTTAGGTCCAACTTCAACGAATAGGTACGTTCAGACTGGCACCCGGCAGTGCAGATTATCTGGGTACTAAGTGTGTGCACGAGCCAAGCTGTACAACGTTGGGCCAGAAACAGCAATCGTGATCACATAATAAAAACCATTACCGCCACCATCACAGAGCAACAACTCACTCCTTCCTTGATGATAACCTCGCCAGGCTTGTAATCAGCGTACTTGAGAGCATGAAGAACCGCCGTCTGGGCCGTTGCGGGTAGTTTGGCCAACAAATTTACCTGCGTGTGGACGGCCGATAGACGAAGACCGATCGCCTTATTCTTGTTTTTTTACTCCTGATTTTCATGTGTCTCCCAATGCTATGCGTTGACGAAACCCAACGCATCCGCCCCAAGTATCCCTTGCCTAGTCTGCAAGAGCGTCTTCTCTACTCGTTTCCCGCAGTAAAAAGGTGGCCGTGAGAGTTGTTCGCCTCACGACCGCATCAAAAACACGAAAGAAAACATGTTAGGTTGAATCTCACGGTCGTTCTCTTCCGCAGCGAGGAACATGCTTGCGTACATCTACTCTTCCACTTGTTATACCTTCTTCATGAGCAGGTAGAGCCGAAACTCCCTCCAGTGATAAAAGGCCGGCCAATAGAGAACGGCCAATGACGTGTCCACTGCCGCCCGCACTGTAGAGTTCCGCCGGTGTTCCTTGCTGGAGTGTTCGTGTTTCGAATTCCAGAAAACAAGACCAGCGTTAGTTGATCAGAGCAGCAGATTCGTGTGTTAACCAAGAGACCAAAAGTACCAGCCAATACCGTGTATGCAAAGCGTACAGGCAGCACATTTTCATTCACAGTTTTCAGCCACATAGTTAACCAAAGTCAAGAGTAGGACTGAACATCAAGCATCTATCAATCACGTGGCATGCCATGAGCACTTGCCCCGCGCACTCTACGCTGACGACGGTTCTTGCGCTATGTATCCCTGCGCTGGCGCCTGTGTTCGCGTGCAACCCAGCGGGCACATGCTCAGCGCGTACTCGCCTGTAGACGAGACCCTCTTCCCCGAAAAATCCCTTCCCAGGCACGAGCGGCAGCACCTGTTGTGGCTCATCTCCGTCTCCGTTGGTCTCCATGGTCAGCATACCACCCTCCTCGGCGTCCAACTGCCACTCCGCATCTGCGGCGAGGTCTAGCAAGAAGTAGAGGGCGTCCGAAAGGTCTCCCTCCTTGTAGACGATCTGCCCCCTGGAGAAATCGACAATGCTCAGGCACTTCATGAGCTCCACCTGCTTCGTAAGCGGCAGCTCACCTTTGCGTTCACGCCCGTGGGGTGGAGATAGTTTGACAGGGAATGACAGAAGTCAGATTCGGAGATTGTTTCGTTGGGACGAGTGTCGGTCCGGCCTAGTCCGGGTGGGTGACTGCTGCGCCCGACCCAACTGGTGGCCATCGAATGTGGTCCGCACCCGAAAGTATGGGGCGCGGTGTGCTATTGGTGCAACAGAGGTTCGCTAGAAATTATCTTCGACAGGTCAACCGCTGAATTGTTTAGGAACATTGGCTGACGGCCTTGTATCGATGCTGTCCAACCCAATGTATATGCTAGCGGGGAAAACTTGGGGGGGGGGGGGGGGGCTCCGCGGAAGAGCTTCTATGTTGGAGGGTGAAGGTGCATGCATGGGGTCATGAGAGCGGTGTGTCCCTTCAGTGGTGCGTTGGAAAGCATTCGATAGTACCGAGGGTCGAAACACACACTTATGCCGTTCCAACCGGCTCGATCGAGGGGCCAACACCGGTTTCTCACAGAAGTGAAGATCTTCTACTGCCAGCAAGGCATCCCGCAGCTTCTTGCTCTCCGACAGAAACCTGATGTCCTGTGCATCCAGGTCGTGACCGCCGCAAACATCGCCGTTGCGACCGTCGTCAATTCCCCCGCCTCCGACACGGCCATTGTCAACTCCTTCTCGTCTACTGCCATCCCCGTCTTCATAAGCGGATCCGAGAGATTCCTCCAAAAAGTTGTGCACGTCGATACTCGACTTGCTCTCGTTCATCCCTGAAATGGAGCTGAACCCCGAGAACGAACTATTTTGCGGTGAGTTGTCCAGTCCCCAAGTGCCGGACGGGCGTCGGTGTCTACCCAACACCCCCACTCCCGCTGTTACTCCCGCTACCACCCCTGCCTCCTGAGCCTTTTCTTGGCCGTTTTCCGAGATCTGCACCTGGCGTCTACTACCGCTCGGAACAACGCTAGAGGGCTTGGGGCGAGATTTCTCTTCCGCGACGTCGTCGCCGGAGTCGTTGCCGGCTGCTGCCGCCGGCGAGTCGATCTCCGTACAAGGCGTGAGATTTACGGCGGGGGAGCGATCGCGACCCCGTCCTCCCGAGGCTCTTCGTGTATGCCTCGGCTTCTCCAGCAGCGACCGCCTCGACCTGGCCGTACTTTTTCTCGAATGGATACGCCGGCCGCTTTCAGGGCGCCCTAACTGGGGGTCCGTGGTACTAGAGATGAGCGAACCCTTGCCGAAATGCAGGGACAGGAGCGAGGAACGGCGCCGCCTGAAATCCTCCCACTGGGGGGAGCGCTTGAGAAGCCACGGCCTCGCATCCGGGGATAAGCCGGTCTTGCGGGGCGAACACGAAGAAGATTTCCTCGATGCCGGTGTCGGAGAGCCGCCGCCCGGGTGCCCCTGCTTTGCCTCGTCTACAGCGCTTAGCCGTCGTTCGTCGCCGTCACTCTCCTCCTCCCCACCATCGCTTTTCAGCCAAGCCTGTCGGTGCCAAGAGGTAATGCCGGCCGACAGCAATGTCGGGCAAGCATGAGGATCCATGGAGATGGTAAATTGCTTCGTGAGTAGAGCCATGAACGGCAGGTACACGAAATTCTAACGCAGGGCACGCATGATCGATTTTCACAAACCCCGTGCACCAAGCGAACACTGCGTAACGCCATCTAACCGACCCGTTCACGTTGTTGGGCGTGATTTCGTGATTTCGAGCTCGAGCTGTAGCCCTTTCGACCGGACCAACAAGGCACACGCTGGCGTTACGCTCTGGATACTATCTACAGTTTAGATATGAGTACTGGGATATTGCACCAAAACCGCCGCGGTGAGGGCAGCAGGGCATGAATCCGAAAGCTTCAGAAACAGAGAGAAGCGGAATGGTCTACTTCGTATTGTTCAGGTAGCCTGGAAGAAGCGAAACATATTATTACTGAGCGACTTGCGGGAAGAGTCGAATCAGATGAGGCACTTCCTACGGAAGAAAGGAAGTGCAACTCAAACGCTCAATCACCTCCCAGCGGGAGTCATCTTCGTCGGCCGTGTAAGAATCCTCGAAAATCGAACCAGCGTCGCATTTGTAGTCGTGCTTGTGGGCTGTCCATCTGCTTCCTGTCACCCCCTCCCCCCCTGTTCTGCCCCTTGCAGGTTCATCGTTAAAATACGAATGATAAGGCCGATTCCACAGCCCCAAACCGCCACGCTCTTCATCGTCCCCAGCCGGTGATGTGTCCGTCCCAGACGTAATAACGTTCTCCATGACGCCCGTTGGACTCCAAGGGGGGGACCGGTATTGAACGTTGTCATTGTCGCCACCATGACGGATCGGGGCGATAACGATAGGCACAACATGAGCGGTACGTTCATTATTGCCACCGATGTCACTGCGCACAATTGGCGTTGTATTCCTTAGGATAACGTCCCGCTGTCCCTTTTGCGCTTCCGGTGCGGAGATAGGAAGCACAGAACCGGCGGTACTTCTTCCAACCCGTTCTTTGTCGTAACCCCTCCTGTGGAAGCCGTCCGTAGCGCCCGGGTCCTTTCCGATGTACCTATTCGACGTAATACCGGCGCTGCCGCCACCTTTGCCGTGCAAGTCACCATCAGTAGCAGAGCCCGTGGCAGCGTTTTCCTGGTATGCGGCTACGCTGGCCGTTTGATCACCACCACTTTCCCCTCGTTCGTCACCGCCATACTGGGCGTCGCCCGCATCTCTTGGTTGCTTACTGCCGTCCTCGTCATCCGAGTTCCAGAGGAAGCTAGCGATTTCGCTGTAAAGCACTTGCTGTCGCTCAACGGCGGTGTTGCCTTCTTCGCCACCCTTCTGACCCCGGTAATTGCCCACACCAATGGTATCGCCCGGACATCCCATGGTTCGATGTTGCAGATCTGTAGGCGGCAACTTATGCTGCCGAGGGAGAACGCCACGGTTGTCGTGCTCTCGACGAGCACCCGTGCGAGCAGCTGCTCCCCGACGGAATTTGCCGGGTTGTACACCAGGGTGACCACTGTGAGAAGCAGCAGCAGTACCACCGCCACTACCACCACCAATAGCACTACCACTTTTGTCTCCTCCGCGGTGCCTATCCCTTGGCACGTTTGGAATACCGTCACTGCTGTTGTCGCCATCGTCCGAGAATAAGAAATGGTTGATCAATCCACTAGTCTTGCGCTTGAATTCGTCATCAGTGTTGGCTTCACCACTATCATCGTTGGCCCTCGCTGACTCATTGTAGGCAGTGGTTCTGTCTGGGTCAGGGCTATCGCCATTACCCGTGGCAGCCCTTTCGTCTCGTCGTGGATTCGTGTGGCCATCACCTTCTTGGCGTTCGTGCTTGTGATCGGTGTCGTACGTACCACCTTGACTTGTCCGACCATGAATGTTCCTTGCTTCCCTCTTCCCGCGACCGGTTGAATCCAGGCTATTTGCGCCAGTGTAGGTTGCATCCGAACGGTTCGTGTGGTCACAGCTCCCCACGTCTCCCGCATGCAACTGCTTGTTGTATGTCACCGCTTCCTCTGCGATGTTACCGCCCCCTCTAGGTCCGGAGCCACTACGGTTCTTGTTGTGACAATCGGAATCTTCGTCGCTCCATAAAAAGCGTTCCATCTCTGAACTCATCGGTCGTTCTTTTTTCGTGCCAACGGCAAAGTTTGAAACGGCTGTTGCACCTACTTCTGGATGCTGTAGTTGCTGCTGTGTCATGCCGGCGATTGTAGCATCATGGTCGTTGTCGACCGGTTGCAAAGTTATGCTTTCTTGCTGCGTTGCCGCTGCTTCCGCCGCCGCCACCACGCCACGCTCGCTCTTGCGCTCATCGTCCGTGGAGATAACCTCGTCAATTTCGGGCAGATGTCCCCTCCAAGCACTAGCCCACCTTAAACTTGTCGCACTGTTCAGGGTGGCCGTAGTAGCTGCCGGTGAGGGTGGGCACGGGAGTCGTGCGTGGATATCGTGACGAGCAGCGGGGCTTGCGGAATAGTCACACACCGCCGGCGTGACTGGGGGCGTGGGATGGTCCTCTCCTTCGGACAGTACCAGTCGACCTGAGCAATGAAGAAACGCAATCACCAAGCAACCAAACGAATAGCGGGGATTAATGCCAACTTACAGTAGTGTGCTTCGACGATGGGAATGCCCAAAAACCCTTCGAAGGAATTCTTGGACGCGCGCGTTAGCCACCAGCACCACTCACTGTGGCACCGATACTTTCTCGTTTTGGCGAGAGGCTGCTTGGTATGCTCGATGGTCATACTCGCAAGCAATTTGTCCACCATGCGCGAGACAAGGGGTGTGTATTGAACTTAACTTGAGAATTGGAAAGCGAAGCAAAGGTAAATTGCTTCGAGAGATTTTCGATGCGAGGCCTTGGGACAGCTCGGGCAGAGATGAAGAGAGAATTGTGCCCGAGCTGCTGCGTACCTGCCGGCGAGATGAGTCTGTGGGTGAAGCACAGCTAGGCATATGTGATCGAAAAAACAGCGTGCCACCTGCCACGTAAACGTAGGTCACACAGCCGCTGCATTAACCCAACCGAAACAGCACGGAAAACAAAGAAGCAGGTGGCCTTCCTTGTTTTGTGACGCGCCTGTGCGCCTCTCCTTCGTAACCGAAAGCAAACGGGGACTCAGGCTTGTTCACAAATACAGATGACGAGAACTGCATCGGAGAAGGATCGGCAAATGGTCCGGCCCAAATGGTTTAGTAGCTCTGCTACCCCCGTTTAAAAGTTTTTTACTGACTTGATTTACTGCCACGTGCGGCTTGTTTCGCCCCTGAATGGATTTGATATGACCCCGGATGTCGAGTTGATCGAACGTGTCTTTTCATCCCAAACGCTCTCTGGGATGGCCTACCTATGCATACAAAGTTAGCATCGCGAGGGCCATCTGTGTCGCGTGACCGCCCCCGCCCCCGACAATCTGGGTGCAAAGGGGAGTGAGTTTGGAGATGTGGACTTTACAGTAGACTACCAAAATGACCTTTCAGATCCTCATGCTGTCGGTACATTGGTCTACATGTATAGACACCTATCGCTTTCCTCTCTTCACAGTCACACTCGTAGGACAATCTCACAGTCCTTAGCCGAAGCTGACAACCCTTCGCACCTCACGGACTATTGAACTGGTATTCACCCCATGTTGCCAAAAATATTTCAGTACAGCAGTAGTCTTGAGGCCCTTGCAAACATAGAGCGATCGACTACTGTATGTCTACAAAACCGAAACCCGAAGTACGTCACAAACGAAAATATTTTCTTGAGAACAAGGATGAAGAGCTCTCACTTTTTATTAAAAACTCTCATGTTGATTAGACTAGGCGTGTTCTACCGATGCTGCATGGTGTTTGCTGAAGTAGCATACAGTCCTTTCATCGTACTGTACACTGTACACATGCTACATAGAGTGCCCGCGTGCACACACACGGCCTCCGCCGCGTGATCACATGCCGCACATACCTGGATATAGGGCCGACTTGGAGTTCGGAGTAAGCATATCATCGGTCCCGCCGGCAGAGAATTCGAGGTTTTGGCTCTCACCACTCATCACGCGGAGCTCTTCCTTGTTCCGCGCATGGGAACGGCGAAACGCGTCCGTGTGATCGTCCATCTCTCCTCAGCAGAGGCAGCAGGTGTGTTACTGCTGTCGCGCAGTGCGCTCCATTTGTCTTTCCTCTACCCGCTCTGCTCGTTGCAACACTTGGCAATGTATATAACGTTAAGACAAGCGTACTGAGAGGCAGGAGGCACAGGGTTGCGACGTTGCGACTCGATCGGAGACAAGTTCGACTGAATGTTGTCGTTGACCACCTTCTCTTCGCAATTATGAAATGTCGTTACACATAATTAATTTGAATAACGCCAACAATGTGGTACGGAAAACCTTCTTTGCCTCACATCCTGCCTAGAGGTGTGAGCTGCTCCAGGCTCTGGTCTCCCTGCTCTCCCTCCTTCTTGCTCGGTCGGAAAGCATGGCCCGCAAGAAAACTGGCAGCGTCGAAGAAGATGAAGGAGCTGCGTTGGAGGAGCGGCGGCGCGTGCTCTTCCACGCTAGCTCTTTGAATCGCTCCGACATTATCAAGAAGGTCGTATCAGCAGCAGCGTCAAACAACGATACGACAATTGGTGCCGTTGCTTCTGGTTCGTCTTCGAGCACCAGCGGAGACTGCGACGTCGAGCGCGAGGTGCTAGGTCATGTGGATGAAAATGGGTTGACTGCCCTCCACCACGCCGTGAAGAAGTCCTCGCTGGATGTAAGGATTGCAAGTATTTACTCCGTACTTCAGTAGCATGCGTTCCGTGTCCGTGTCCCGCAAGTCCGCCGCGTATCGCGTTTTGTGGGGTTCCGGGTTGTCGGGCGGTATAGGGTGGGCTCGGTGTGCCGTCCCCGCACAATAGCGGTAGCGGGCATGAGCCATGTGAAACGCCCTGATCACAACATGGTTGCGCACGTCGTCAATTCTTGTGTTCACGCAGCGGGCACACGGCGCAGAGCAGTATCCCAGCGTATTGGACTATGATGATGCTGTTTGTTGCGGTACAACCCGCCACCCCATGCTACCTGCCGATCGCGACATCGCGACGGAATGGACGAAAGCCCACGGAGGGAAGGTGTTGCCGGTGCAAGAATTGCATAACCCAGTTGACCACGCAGTCTTGTTTTTCCTTCGACAGCAGGACATCCATCTATCGCCCGCCGCATCCTCTCCCCCCCACAGCCTTGCTACTCTCTCAACTTGGAGGTAACCGTCCGACACGCTGGCAGGTGTGGGATGACCCGTAGCGACAAGAAGCTCGGCTGTGTGCTCCATTCCAACGCCCTCATGCCATGTCCCTTTGCCTGCCCCTCCCCGCTCTGGTACAACGCTGGCCTGGTCCGCGAAACTCTACCCCCATTCGTGCCTATATCACACGAATGAGGAGGTCTAGCATATGCATACTCAAATATGCATATGTAGTCACAGTCAACACTCGACGATACCGCCCACCTCGCTCGCCGTACTTGTACCCCGCCGCGATACGTGCGTAACCCCTTTCATTTTTCTTTTTTTCTTTTCAGGCCATTCGCGTCCTGTTGCGTCTTGGTGTGGACGTTACCGCAAGGGGAGGGGCACAAGGCCCGTTCCCGAACCTCACCGCATATCAGGTGAGTGTGACGGCGGGAACGTGCTTCATGTGGTTGCCACTGCCGTTCGCTTTGTTGTTGTCATCTATTCAAGCCGACACCAAACCGCTACTAGACTAGTCAGCGCTGAATAGTCCAATGATCAACGGTGACTAATCTAATGGTTTGATTTCAGCTTCTATTTTTCTGTTGTTGTTAAATGTTGACGATCACGATGTTGATGGTGATACGGCGGTGTTCCTCTTGGTGCGCAGGTGGCTCTGTCAGGCGGGTGCAAGGGCAACCCGGAGGAGATAAAGCAGATTTTTCTCACGGAGGCGGTGCAGGTGAGAGGGAGAGATCACACCCCTCTTGCCTCGGTCCATTGAAACAATGATACCCGTATTCTCTGTCTGAGTCTGGGTGCGGTACAACTTCCGACCGTTTGCCCGCGGTCAAGTCTTCTTTTCCCCCTTGCCTTGGTAGATGCTTCTGTTGCTGTTGAGGCACGTTTTGCCTCCTCCTCCTCCTCCTCCTCCTCTTCACATGTACTGCCCGGTCTTGACTTGAATTAGGCGTGGCTTGACTACGTACCTTTCCCACGCACATTTGGTTCAGATCCCCTTTCTTTGTACGTTGGGCCCGACCTACCTCCAACGGTATCATCGCACATCAGTAAAGCTCCACCCCGCCCCCAAATGCCTCCCGACCCACCCTGAACGCAGGATCCCGCCCGTCTCGCAAGCCTTTTTGGCGCGATCTACTCCTCAAAATGTATTTTTTACCCATTCTCACCTTTCAAACCAACGGCACAAACAAGAGTACCGGCGGCGGGGCCACACAGATCTGCGTGAGACCTTATCGGGGAAGCGTCTCTGACCCTCCTGCCGCGTGCATGCGACACCTTCCAGTCCGTTTTTGGTGATATATTTTCACGCTTGGTCTTGCGCATGTTGGGTTTGACGTCTAGGCCATTGCCGAAGGAGATGCGGAGAGACTCGGGGAGTTCTTGGACGCCGGAGTAGAGGCTTCGTCCGAGTACGGCGCCGACGGGGGGTGAGTTGTTGTTGGCGTTGTCGTCGTTGCCCCCACAGCCGTGCGGACCTGTCTGAACGATTGAAGATACCGTAGCTCTTTCCCCCAAACGGATGGGGAATACATGCAGAAGAACTTTTTAATACCGTCACCTAGCAAACATACGCACGACGGAAATGACGTGCTGAACTCGTGTGTTTCACCCGGGAATTTATTTCTCCAGTTGCGGAGAGACGAGAAATTCAGGTGTATTTTTTATGAAGGCCACTTTTTTTGCGCAGCAATCCCTTCACGTCAAGATGAGAGTGCTCTCATGGCGACACCAAAGGCACTATGTACCGTAAATGACACAAGAAAACACACACCCTGGACCGATTTTCAGAGCTCGATTACTCCACGACGAAGAGGATGCATAGACGAAAGGATACGTTTTCAGAGAGCTCTCGACCAAACGGCTTCAACGCCGCCGTTTTCGGCTCTGCGACTGTTGCTGCTGTTGAAAAATCGAGCTTTGAAAATCGGTCCAGGGGGTGTGTTATCTTGTGTCATATACGGTAGTTGGACATGGCCAAGAGTTCCGGCAGGATCCTTACGGCCCACCGCTCGCCCTTTCCACTTTTTGCGTCCAGCAGTGGAGAGGGAGGCAGCAGCACGTCCCTGGCAGAGTGGGCAGAGCAGCTCGGACAGTCGGACATGCTCGCCTCGCTCTCGGCCTCCCTTTCAAACAACAACGCAACAATCCGACGTCTTGACGACGGCGAGGCCAGCAACCCCAACGCGGAGACTTCGGCTCGGGGGGGCATGGGGGAAACTGGCCCCCATGGAGCGGAGGAAGCTGAGGCGGAAGGATCGAGGGTTTGGGATGACGGCGGCAGGGGTGCGGCGGCGGACGACGTGGGGCTGTTTGTGGGAGAGCTGAGGGTGGGTAGTGCTGGTGTTGACGTGCCGGTGGTGTTGTGGGCGGTCGTGGTGATGATGGTGTGTTTTGTCGTCGTCGTCGTCCTCGTCGTTGTTGGTTGCTCATTGGGAAACGCTGCGTAGCTGATTCGCTTGTCTCTCTTCCACGACCGCCCACATGTTCCCAGGAAGCGATCGTGGACCTGACGGCCGAAAGCGAAGAGCTGGAGGAGGAACTGGCGCACAGGGGGACCTTCGGCATCATCAAGGTTTGTTCTCGGTGTTGCTGTCGTTGTTGTTGGTCTCTTTGTCGTATTGTTGTTGTGTTGTTGTTGTTGTTGTCGTCGTTGGTCGTTTTTTACTCAACACTTGGCGGTAGTAGCTCGACCACACAGACGAACGAAGTGGTGGATGGCCTTGTGCTGTCCGCCAGCAAGGAGCGTGTTTGCCTGTGCGGTTTGTTGCGCGGGTGGCTTCGGATGTACCAGCCTCCCAACCCTGCATTATTTCGCTGCTCGTTGTTTCCGATCGACCGTGCCTGTACGCACGTCCATACCCCTGTTTGTGCGCTCCTGTAGTGCAAATTCGGTGTGCACATGCGGTCGTGGTTCGAGGACGTAGCAAGCATTCGTTGGGTTCGCCGTATCCTATCCCGCCACATTCTGTAACCCCTCCCGCTCCCGCGCGTGTAATCCCCTGTAACTTGCCCACCTCTCACACTCAGCGAGCACGACAAACTCGGCAAGACTTGATTCTCGCCTCTAGCGAAGTGGACACGGCCAACGCCCTGTGCGATAAGTGGAGGGCGGAGGAAGATGCAGCCTCTGAAGACAACGCGCGGTTACAGGTAGAGATTGTCGTCTATGGTATCACTCACTCCTCGGGGCCGTTTTCATGTGGCTCACGGAGGAGCAAGGGGGGGGGTCGGGTCGGGACGCTATCATCGACGTGCGCATTTTCTGTTGTTTGATCCGGCCTTCGCGTAGTGCCAAGCACACGCGTAGCCGTGATCTTCGCCCCTCGCAGACTTCTCGCGCTCGCAGTTCAGTACAGAGTTGGCAGTCCTTCTTAGCCGTCCTAGCTGCCACGGAGTTCAGTGGCAATCACCCGTCGTACACGCAGTCATGGTCATGGCCGATATTAGGTATATTTAGATCCCCGCCCAATAAAGAAAACGGGATCTTGGACGTTTCGTTTTCCTCATTGTTCTATGGCAAAGTGTGTGCCTCGCAGTAGTTTTACCGAGTAACCGGCTTGCCTCTGTGCCCTCTCTCCGCACTCCTAATCCCCTCCCCCCCAGGCCCAAGTGATAGAGGCGCAGTTGGCGGTGCAGCGCCACAGGGCTGGATTGCAAGGCAGTGACGGCGACGATAACAGAAGTAGCCCGATCGCACGCGGGGAAAAAACACCACCGCCGTCACCCGCGCGGGATCGACCGGAGGCGCAAGCCTCGAAAGCCTCCGCTGCGGGCGAGAAAGAACGAACCAAGAACAACTCCTCATCGTCGCCGCGGACACAGCCTTCGCCGGAAAATATGACGGTCGCGGGCGGAGACGTTAGGGCGGGAGAAGAAGAAGGCGACGCAGATTTGGAGAGGGACGGCGGCGTTGGTAACCCTGGTGGGACCGAGGACTCTAGGAGAACGGAAGAAGCTGAGGCCCTCGGGTCGCAGCTGCAGATCATTGCGATGCACCTGGTGAGAGGCGACATTGGTTGGGCTCAAACATCGAGGGGATAAACGAAAGAGGGCTTTTGTGCTCAGCCTTGCTGCCGCTGCTGCTGCTGCGGCCGTGATGGTTTTATAGCGGAAAAAAAGTTCCAAAGCTGCTGGGGAGTCCGGGGTCAGTGACAACAAACACGTCGGCCTCTCTCATCGCCCGTGGCGTAGAACTCCAACACAGCTGTTCCGTAAAGGGGCCCCAGAATAACCTACCTTCGAGGGCCCTTACTGACCGAAAGTTTCTGGAAGGTGCACACAGCAGGAGCCTGCCCTGCTCACTCTTGAATCCCCAAGAGGAAGAAGAAGCACCGATCGTGGGGAGTCTTTTTGTCCAAAGTAGGTCTGAGCCGGGGTGGGTGGGCTATGGGGCCAAACGCTGACGGCCTGTTTGGAATGCGTTTTTATGTAGATTTCCCGCTCTATTCGTTGTCGCTGAATGTGCTTTGACTGAACTTTGCCTTCTGGCCCCTTCTCCAGGAGGACGAGCTGCGGATGATGCGAAGTCTGATCGACGGGGAAGGTGCCGTGGGCGTCGTGCGGCGCATACGCGCTCTCCGGGAAGAGATCGAAGCTGCGGAGGAGGAGGCCCGCCAGACGTACGCCGTGTCGAGGTGCGTGTGCAAGGCGCTCTTGACCCTTCCTCTTTTCTGATTCCTCCCGCCGACATCTTGCTTCTCTCTACTATCCTACGCCTTCTATATCTCTTGTTCATCTGTGCCGGTCTGTGGATAGCGGTGTCTCTGTTGTCTTCTAGCTTCCCTCGTCAAGATTCAAGCGCAGGTTGCACCCCCCCCATACCTGAATTAGCCATGCCCCATCGTGTCCGCACGAATCGTCTGGTCGCGTTCAAGGAAAAAAAAAATCCATGCCCCCTTTCTTGACCCAACAGATACCTGCAGGCGCGGGTAATTGTCCTCCACGAGGCCGGCAACGAGCTCTTCGCCCAGCTAGACAGGCTTAACGGTTACCTACGCGAACCACCAGGGGCCGCCCTCCTCGCGAACGGTGAGCCTCCACGAGCGGCAAACAAGGAGGACATCGACGACGACGATATTACGCTGGAGCGCGGCCACTACCACAGCGGTCCTGTGCCTTCGGGCAACGAGGAAGGGAATACCCTGGAATTGCGCAGTATCAATGGTGGTGAGGATGAGCGCAGCGAGGAGAACATGACGCAACCGCACGCCCCGCCCGACGAAGATAGCCTAGCCCCGGCGGAGGAAGTGGCAGCCGAAGGCTCTGCGGCGGGTAGCACGTCTCCGAGACAGGAAGGCGGCGGTGGCGGTGGCCATGAGGAGGGAGGGGAAGGAGAAGGCCCGGTTTTCGTTCGGCCGCAAGAGTTGCCAGAAGCCGGAGTGTTTGACATCAGTGATGCAGGAGAAGTGCAACCACCGTCGCCGGCCAATTCTGTGGGAGAGGGAAGCGCGGCCGCAACGGAAGAATCAGACACGGCAGGAGGAAGCGGAAGGGAAGGGAGAGCCAGGGCCCTCCTGAACGCGCGGGGAGTTGACACAAGAAGCACGGCGCGGAACGCGAAGAAAGTTACCGTCGTCCAGGACGTCCTCTCGGTGCTGTTCGGCTGGGAAGTGTCCTCCGATGCGGAGAGAAAGGCAGCGCGTGGCGAGCTCGAGGAGATGGGGTCGGGAGGGAATTTTGGCGGAAGCGGTGGCATGGCCGGGGTTATGTTCGCATGATGGCGTGTTGGGGGGGAGGGGGCAAGACGCCACGGCATGTGTATGTACTTGTACGGAATAGATATGTGTTTGTCGTTGTTCTGGGGTAGATATGTTTGGAACAAAGCGCGGTGCGGTGTATGTATTATATACTGTATGCTGGTTTTGCGTGGCCCCTGGTGTTTGCAGATGCGCACGCAACATCTCTGCCAAAGAGTGTGTTCACGTTCGTCCCTCTGTTGTGGGTGAGCTCTTTTTCGACTGTGTTGTGCATGTAAAACAGCAGTATGTAATGAAATGAACTTTTAAGGGTCTTGTTGTCGTTCTCGACAATGTGGACGGCAACAAGCTCCGCTGGGCAGAGAGTCAACTTCTATGACGAAGTGTACACCTACCTGATTCTTTATGGCTATCCAAAAGTTGAAGAGCTGAAGCACGACTTGAACACCTTCAACAGGGTAGAAAAGAGGCAGCTCGCCCTACAGATACAGCTTTGTAACGATGGACCTTCAATCAGACAGGATCGAAGCGAATATATTGCTTAAGTCAGACTGTCCTTCTCCGGCCGACCCAGTATATGCCATAGAATATCTGTCGTTGATTTCTATTGACTTGCGGACCCCTCGGGGCCAGTTTATTTGAGTGTACCTTTTTAGGGTAAGTTAACCTGTGACCACGGGAATCGACCGCGTCGAGTGTTGGATCAGTACGGACATACGAAGGTACTGGGTAGAGAGAGATCGGAACGGTTTTTAATGTGAAGACAACAACAATACCAGCACCCCCAGGAGCTGAAATTCATGGAACATCGAGGACCCGTTTTTTGTTTGTGGAATCCTGAAGGTCCCGGAGTCTTCTTAGCAAATCGGTTATTCAAACAACGAGTGTTCGCCTCAGAGAATGACCTGAGGAAAATGGAATGAATCGCGATCATGCACATGCATCTCACCACGAGAGTTCTGTTGTGCCGGCTTCAAAGGGTCGTCCGTCATGACATTCTAAGCCAATCCTTACTCGACACATGATTCGAAAGAAATAATGTAGGGATTGATTAACTCGCTCGATGTAGACGCCGAGGACTACCTAGATTTGCGAACATGCGAGCCTGGGGCCGAAGCAACTTTGCCGCCGGCACAACCACAACCCAGCAGTCACTTTTGTATGACGAACATCTTCCATCCTTCTGGGCATACAGCGATAGAAATCACGTAGGACATCAATAAATACTGACTTGCTTGAGTAGACTAGATGGTATGACGCCGCAATCAAAGCATGCAAGTAGGTAATTCGAATAGAAAACTCCCACTCTGCACCCAGAATTTCTTTCAATGGACTAGGAAAGCAAGCTGTTAGAAATGCGGCTTCAACTTGTCGGTCGTGCAATAGATACATCTGTAAAAAAGACGGAACGACCAATCAATGCTCGCCCAAGTCACAGAGAATCACAGAGCAGCAGCCACCTCATCCTACACCCCCTACACCAAATGGCGTGCTCAAGAGCACTGAAACTTCAGTCCCAGGCGGAGTAACGCGAGACCATTGGTTGGGACACGCTGAACCCCGAAGAAAGCGTCAGGTCAAAGGTGGTACCACCAAAGCGCGAAGCCAGGCATTGGAGCAAAAAAACGGGGTGGACGAAAACTTACACCTTCTTCGTTGTCCCACATAAAACAGCCCTGACCTCCACCCAGCATCTTCTCTATCTACTTCTATTTAAAACGACAAATTGGTTCCGTGGAAGTACGAAACATGACGGAGAGGAGGTTGTTATCTACAATGAGGTAGTAATTGACATTTCAGCGCCAAAACGACAAACGTCTGAATATCCACATTCGCTCGTGTACAACTTTGTCCCTGGTACATTCTCGTGCATGCACATGCAATCGCAGCCACATCTGTGCGGCAAAAATATAAAAACTCTTTAACACACACATGTTGACAGGCAGTACATACATGTGTACAAAAGGGCGAAGATGACGACCGAGGTCATTTCCCAGAATGACAAGTTTCCCAGATTGCCAAGTTGCTCATCTCGGTGGTCATTCTCGGCGTGACTCTAGAGAACCTCGACACGCCGTTGTGCGTCCAACGACAACAACTTACGAGATACCGTGTAACGTTTATCTATAGTATGCAACATAAACAAAGGACCCAAGGGTCAGCAACGTTTCAGACTACTAATATAAAATATTGACTTCGAATTGGCCATGCTATTTCCATGTATCATTTCGAAGCGAACGGCTTGACCAACCTTCACGGGTCTTTTTTTCATGACACTTTTTTTTTCGTACCCCTACCCGGAATGATTTTGACGAACTTGTCTCCATATCCGCTCGTAGAGAACCGAGAACCACAACACGATGGTGACATGACGTGTTGAGGCCAAGACGTTGACGGTGATGGTTAACGTTCGATCTTGACCGAGGCGTGGGGCAGGTGCCTCTCGAGGCTCTCTTGTGATCTTGTACAATCTGAGCAGGGAAGTCATCCCGTAGCACGGCAGGCATGGGCGGTGCATGTGCTGGTTTCACGGATGTCCCGGCGAGGCGTCCGCCGGGGTCAAATGGGGGCAATCACACAGGGCCGAAATTATATGCATACGAATCCACCCAATCCGAACACCACTTCCCTCACGCAATCATCAATCGATTCGTGTTAGCTTTGACACCATTCTGCATCGGCCCACCCATCTCCGCAATCACCATTAAGGGTTGGTTTGGGTTGTCTAGGCCGCCACGGATGCCACCTGCTCTGTTCGATGACATTTTCAACACAACCCTGCAGTCAGGCACACGACACTTAGTTTCGGTTCATCAAAGCGGTGTTCCACCACGCGGGCTTGTACACTGTCACCTATAATCCAAGCCCCTGTTCATCGTTGACTAACATCCACTAAGACCTGCTAGATAGTGTGCCAATCTCGCATGATGGCTGGATCTTGTAACCGCTCTGCTTCGCAACGGGAACGAAGCAAGAAAATTCCGAGTGACGCACGCGCATCTCTTTGGAAAGATCCCGGCAGAGAACATGATGGTGTAAAAACAACGAGCATCCTGTCGGCATGGAACGCTTCGCCACTATCTGCTTTTCCTGTGCGATACAGCCGCATTCACGGCGATTGTGAAAGAGCTGTATCAATCAGAAGACAAGAAACGCCGAAGGTGAACTGTCCATTCGGTTCACTACACGATAGCTTTACGACAACATAGTACATCATACCTGGCTCTTCGAATCGGTTGTCGCTGATGTCGAGCTCGGTGAGGTTGGTCAGCTTTGAAAGCGCTTCTACAGGAATAGGACCTGCGCCGGACGCAGCCACCGGCCGAAGAAATAACGAAATCAAGCCAATCTATCCCGCGTAGTTGCACTCCTGTCGTCGTCACGTGTGGGCACAGGCTCTACAAGGGAATGGGCATTGACCCATGCTTACTGCTCGGACGAACTCGCCCACAGAGGTGTTTATGTCTGACCACCGGGCTTTGAATCCCGTCTCCACATTTGATAAGGGCGCGCAAGAACGAATGCTGGAAGTGTGGCTGGCGGGTCGATTATTACCGAGACGGCACGTAGCTTCTTGTCTGATGTCGACGGCCACGCCCGTGGTCAAAGCAACAACAGCATACCGAACAGCATACACCGAACCACGTGAAGGACGAAGACACTTAGGCGGTAACGAATGTTCTTGGTTCTTACCTGAGAGCTCGTTGTTAAAGAAGGACAGTTCCTTAAGCTTCACCAGCCGGCTCAATTGTGGCGGAATGCTACCTGCGACCAAGGAGGGGACCGAAGCCGAGAAAAAAGCATTCCAATTGAATTCCCTCACCAACCTACCGTTGCCAGTCGTATGTAGCAACGGCAGAAAGTTAGAATAAAAAAACAAGGACAACCATCGGAAAAACCGCGACCTTGTTTCTTGCGGTAGAGCATACTTTGGCACGTGGCGAAGGTACCAACAGAAACAGGTTCTTCGTAGGTTCAACAAGTAAGCATGCAACGATCGCTTCCCATTCAAAGCAAAGCAGCAGCGTTTCAGTGGTCATGGTCTACAAACGTAGAATGTACCTGCGGGTACAGTAACAACCGCGAAAACGGTGCAGGGTAGTGACACCGCAAGACTTGCTCCTCGGCAGTTACTCGCGCGTTTTGTTGGTTGATTTTTGGATTTTTGGGATCCCACCCCTCATTCCGTCCAAGTTTATCTTGTGGCCAGGGGTCGTACTGTCAAGAATCATGGGTAACGCTTCCCGACTGATTCGAATACTGTCGAAATACCTAAAACCGCGAAGAGCAAAAGTCACCTGTAAGACGACTCTTGCGAATGAACAGCTTCGTGAGATTCGTCAAGTTTGCCAGTGTCGCCGGCAGGGCTCCTGCACGATGAGAAAAGCACGTCGGAAACCCATGATGGTGCGAAGAGGGTGGGAACAGATTGTCGGCAGTACGAATCGCAGGGTTTAGCTCGATAACGCCTCCTATTATCCGCGGGCAGAGCAGCGTGGCCATCGCGCCGCGGCAACCACGCGCTTCAATTATTGACACACCATCCCAATCAACGCTGGTGGCATTTCGCCGAATACAGCGGGCATCACACCGCCTGAACCGGGAAAGCTTCCGTTTCCAGGCAATTCTACTCACCGTCGATGCGATTGCTGGAAAGAATCAGCCTTTCCAGGTTCGTTCTCGTCCCCAGTGTGTCCGGGATAGGACCTTCATGGCGGAAGAACCAAGCGCACACAAACGAATTAGAAACCCAGGGTGGCGAGCCAACAATCAGGGCGCACTCGAACTTAAGGTTTCGGTATTCATAGAGTAAGACGGTCTTGATCAATGTAGCTTTCACTCTGAGGAGATGTAGCAAGCCGTCGACTTCTATTTACCTTCGTCCTTTCGTACCACCATCGTCTCACCCGTGAGCTCGTTGTTCCAGAGATCCAGGAGCTTGAGAGAGGCAGGCACGACCGATGCTGACGGAACCGGTCCTATTGATAGCAGGATTCAAGAAACTGAGGAGTATTAAAAGAATATCGAATCTGTTTGGCGGTCTCCTTTTCAAATCTCTTTCATCTGGCTCTGCCCACCATTTGCAAGAATCCGCACGAAGTTGCATCGGCAGCTCAGTCGGTCAATGTCGAGCCTTTGACGCAGTCTAAGGTGCAGCACAACTACTCCCTACGGCAAACGTTAAACCGACCCGCAATGGTACGCCAGGATACAGCTGGTGGGACAAGCTTTGTTGTTCGGATCAAATACCAGAAGTGTTCACTCACCAGAGAGTTTATTTTGCTGTAGGTGTAGCCCCACAAGGGAGGGCATTTCGCCGAGTCGAGCCGGTATCGGCCCTGGTCAACAAAATCATCGCGTGGTGGCGTTGATGCTAGTGTAGGCAGAAATGACTCGGGAACCCGGCCGTTGTTTACTTGATACCCGGATCCATCCCGCCTAGGATTTGTACCGCAACGACCACGATGTTCTCAGGTCCCAAACAGGTCTTCGATCCCTGCCGCAACAACAATGCTGACATCTCCGTGGACCGACCGCTAGCGGAGGCAACGCCTCTGGAGAAGCACCCAAACTGTGCTCTACAAAACTAGCTCATGCTTCCCTGCCCGCGGTACGTAGCGGTGACGTCACGAGGCGAACGCTATTCGTTTGGCGCACGTTACACAGCCACCAAATACTTGCTACCCGTACCCGGTTGAGGTCCTGACGGTATCGATAGAGAATGCGCGGACCCGGTGCTTGCTCATTCGGATCATTGTAGTCGCGCTCACCATTGAGGCTGTTGTTGTTCAGCATCAGAGTCTGTAGGCGAGCAAGCTGGATCAATTCGTTGGGGATGCCACCTGCCGGCATTCGCAAACGAGCACGAGATTGACGTGCCATTTTCGCATCCCACCACAACACGAAATCGCCTCCTTACAGAACACAGCACCGGGGTACTGTTAAATCTCACACTGCCCACCTATCAATCACCCGAATCGTACTGGACCCACGTTTTTGCCCCACGCATCATCACGGGCGCAACTTCGACATGACGACCTCGGTTTCCATCTATGCAAACAGGCCGCAAGCATGAAGGCGGAGAAACCTGAGGACGGGTGTATTCGAGGTCGTGTTCACCTCCAAACGCGTGTTCCCTCCAGTTATTTCTGCTCCAACGGCATTTTGTTGATTTTTCGGTTCTCGATTTCATGTCATGACACATGCCATGTTGCCACCCACGCATATCTTCGCACTCCCCTCGACAGATGTGGCAACAACTTATGTGCAAGAAATAAATCCGAAAATGTTTGGTGTGTTCTCCTCTGGTGGCTGAGCTCCAAATCAATGCACACCATCTCGCGTGTCGCAAGGTCCCCCCGTACAAAACCCGGGTTGACAGGGCTAAAAACCCGGGATACATCAATACTCACACCTTAACGCATGTACCCTACCGCAAAAATATTTACCCGGGCAAGTAGGAATTCAACAGCCTCTATTTTTCTGCCTCTTTGCGCATATCTTTCACCAAAGACCCGGACTGCACTCTACCCGCGGCGAAGCGTATCCAACGCGATGGCAAGCCTTGACAAGCTCAGGTCGGGAAAAAAACGCATACGTACCTAGCTGAACACTTTCATCAACAGAAGCCGTCCTCGAACACACAACTCTGCTGTTGTGGACCAACAAAACAGTCAATTGTTGTATCTGACTCATGTTGAGGAAGCAACAGGGAATCTCAGTTGCCAGAAAGAACAGTTTCATGAGCGAGCCACTCACCGGTGAGGTTGTTCCGAGATAGGTTCAGGGTCTCCAGGTTGGCCAATTCGCCTAGTTCCAGCGGGATGGAGCCTGGACGTTATGTAGAAAAACGAACAAGTTGAGTTGACACGGATAGCCTCGGTAAGGCTTTATGCCCTGAGGCACAAGAGTCGGAATGAAGCTCGTGGGCGTTCACGACGATTCTCCATGTATATTGTAAGATAACCACGACCAACTCCCCACCGCAGAGCTCGATCACAAAACACCACCAACCTGAAAGGTTTTGTCTCTGAATGCAGAGAGTCACCAGCTCCTTCGCCGCACCGAGCCCCTTCGGGATTCGACCTGGGATAGGGATCAATCATACTCATCAGTCAAGCTCGGATCAGGTGTGAACTGTACCCTTTTTATGGCATGTGCATGCATATCTGTGAACTCATCTCACCTTCCAGAAACGGAAACGAATGGTCGCTTTCCTCCGAAATGAACTCGATCTTCGACAACTGTAACTGATCCGCCCACCAGTGGTGGTCGCGAGCTACCTCCCAGGCCATCCTCATAGACTCGGGCTCATCCGCGTTGGCGCTTGAAATCAACGGAGCGAGCACCTCAGCCTCCTGTTTCTTTCCCAGCAGTGCGTTCTTCAGCTCAATCACAGACTCCACCCTCCCCTTGGCCGTGGCCGCCATGTGGAACATCCTAGGTAAATCGTCCTCTTCGAGGCTGGCGAGAGCCTCGGCCGCCTTGGCCAAGAACGAGAACACCGACGCGGCGATGTTCATGGCTCCAGCCACCGTGGTGAAGCCTGTCGTCATGCCGGTGATGGCCAGCTGCGGCAAGTCCTCCAGAACGACGTTTAGTAAGGGCCACGAAAAGTAGCGCCCAGCGCGCCCCGTGGTATCGGGGCAGGCCCCGTTCCTAAGCCATCCTGGGCAGTCCGTGGCCAACAGCACCCACGTGAGCGTCCCGAAGAGTGTGAAGAACAGGGACGCTTCTTTGAGCCCCTCGAACGATGCATCGTTCTGGACCTCGTCGGAGAAATAGAAGAACCAGTCTGTCACGACGTCAATATCGGCGGCAATCGAGCTAAGGGCCAGCGAGGAAGAAACCGTGTCCCTCGTCAAGCGTGCCTTGAGCTCTGGAACTTCCCACTTCCTGCGTGGGGTTCCGACAGCGGCGGTCTCCGCACGGCAGAAAACGTCGCACTGCCCGCCATTCTTCTTGTACAGGAACGCAAGGTAGAGGAGGCGAAGCATATTGGAGAGATGGCGCAGTCCACTTCCTGTTCGTTAGGAAAAAGGGTCTATTGTATATATGAACAATATTTTTCGCTGTTGCCTTGGCTGATGTTGCACAGTATAATCGAATAGCACATGTCTCGCCTAAAATAACGGCAACGTACCTGCTCGGCCTGCTCAATAACCCGCAAATATCATTGTTTGACGACGTATTTCTCTAGGCAGCATCGACCGCGCCGGGATTATATGACCAGTTCTGGGTGATACCTTTCCGGGTACACCAGTAACCAGCATCGGTTGCACTGGAAGGTCGAGATGCCAGCGGGAGTTGTACCCGATAGAGTTTTTTTTAGAAAGGTTTCTCCAGTGGGTAAATACGATGATGGTGTTTTGGCCAATCAGCTGGCTGCCTTGGAGTGCATGCTGTGTTGATTTCTACTGTTAGTTTTTCGCTAAATGGTGATAAATCGCCCGGGTTGCCGTTTCTGGTTACTGAGAGACGAGGGAGAATGCCGATATGGCGATTACTCGACGCGATGATTCCCGGTTTCGAAAGCCTAGCGGCCCCGAGAGGAGATGGAACGATGGAACCATGGTGCCCCGCAGAATGTGAAAATACCCCCAGGGGAGGAGCAACCAAGCTGGAGCATGCTATTGTATAGCTGATAAGCTGGAGCATGCTATTGTATAGCTGATTCGCTTGCATGCAGCATGTAGAACACGTTGGCTGTACGGCCTAAGATATAACAATACCAAAATGCCAAATCGTCCACATCACGTCTATATACCGATGCCCTGATCTTTCACGTTCGCGTCCCTGTTGGCGTTGCATGCAGGTTTGAAATAATAGCGGCAAAGTACGTCCATGCTCATGATCGCTGAAAACCGGCAGCAACTCCTTCGTCCGTGTACTGGGTCTCCGGCATCTAAATAGACGATACACCACACCATAATTTCTATGAGTTGCTGGTGACTCCCCAAATCGAGCATGAATCTCGAGTCGAGAAAGCCCGCACCTGAATAGCGCCAGCTGGGTGAGGTGTCAGACAGATGGAGCAGGGAGGTGCGGCAAACAGGGCGAGGATTGTTGCACATCTCCGGAGATTTACAGCTGCGTACCGTCGCGCGTCATGAGATGTAAAAAAAAAATGTGGGCATATGCATACAGTTAGTACTCGAGTATCCAGCCAATGTTCACAGCAGTCCAATCACCCTGACCCTCCAAGACCCTTACAAGACCACAACGCCACTGCAACACCTGTGCTAGAGTACATTGGCTGCTTAGGACGTGGCACTCTTGAAAACTATGGTAAGTGGCGAGTGCCAAGATCTGCCCAGCCCTCCGGGTTGCCATACATACATCATCGCGAGACTCGGCGCGTGTTCAACCACAGGCATCATGTTTATTGATTGTTCTCGTACAGCGATGATAAACCCCGGCTAAATGACGACCACAGCAGTACTGCCGTAGACGACAGACACATGCATAGGGAGTTGCGATGGGACATGCAATGATTCGTACCACGCCCCATCACTGCTGTATGTGCGTATGTACTTGTACAGTCCTTTGCGAACATCGTCATCATCAGATTTTTGTCTTGTCTCTGCGCGTTGGCGTCAACACGCCATCCTTATTTTTTTCCATATATACTCCGTAGTACAATGTATAGTAAGGGGGCATTCGTCGACATACGTCATCTGCCGTGATTTGCCATATATATGCACAATCACAAAAAAGAGTGCACCACAACGTGTCACATGCCCAGGCGGTCAGTGGGTAACGTCGTAAATCTGCATGCTACCACAGTAGCAGTAGTCCCAGGTGCAGTGGGTTCGAATCTCTCTCTCGGGAGTGAACAAGTGCAATACTATGCTTGTGGGAGTACTGCGGTAAGTAAATACCTGCTTTAGTTCAAAATTCCAAAATTCGTGAGTACCCGCACACACCGGCCGGTCGCAAGTAGTCGCAAGGAGCCCGTTGATGTACTTGTACTGCTTTAGGAAAGAATTCGTGTTCAGTGCGCGTTTTTTTTTCCCGGTGTACAGCAGTATAGGAAGTAATGTGTCATCTGATCTTCCCGTTGCCAAAACCCAGAAATTTAGCCGTGTAGATTACGTAACCACCTACACCCACCTACACATATGCATATTATCAACAGGGACAACCCCATGCACATACGGCAGTGTAATGTTAGTGGTTCCCTGTACAATATAAGGCCGCATAGATAATGCCGGGCCTGGGATTTTGACATGTGCATGCGTCTTATGAGGGCACCCAGCCTTGAAGAATACCCCCTGTGTACAAGGCCGGTGAGGCCGGTGCCGACAATATATACTACTTAAAGTATTATTGAAGCCTAAGAGAGTTCCTTGTGGGGTTGTGCAACCCAATATTCAAGCTATGCATACTACTTCTGTAGTTCGCCGCAAAAAATCATGATGACAACTTAGTCAAGCTCGTTACTGGACCCCAGGATGGAGGAAAAAGGTAGCTAGGGGGAAAGATTTAGAAAGAGCAGGGCGGTGCCACAAGTGGTCCGTCCGCTCTCCAAGTTGCATGTAGAAGATCCGTATGCATATATCCGTGTATCCGTCAGAGTGGTCTCCCGAGTTCCCATGTTTCCCATGGTCCTCGGAACGATTCTCACAATAGTCCTGTCTATGATAGAAGGATCGATTCTTCCTTCGCCTTGAATGTGTTGCGCATGGAACAGATCGTTGTTGACAACGTCATGAGAATAGGTGTTGATAGTATGTATTTGTATCCTGTTTGTTTCACCGTACGCCCTTTTGCTGCTCTCCCCAATTCGTTCCGCCGTGTGGATAAACTTCGTTCCCCGAAATGCGTCAGGCGGTAGTACTGCACTGCCCTACGGCTGCGACGATGAACGCGACGCACTCGACTAATTTCCACCACAAGCACCACCAACATCGTGCTGGAACGATGTTCTTCGAAGCTTCTGCTCCAGGCGTGAATGCCGCCGCAGACACGGCACCAACAATAGAAGTGGTAGAACCAGTAGCAGTAGCAGCAGCAGCGGCAGCAGCAGCAACGGCTTCATCAGCGGCAGCCGCGTTGGCGGCGTTAGTCCTCCAAGTTTCGACGAAGGACAGTAGTAGCTCTGCTGGCGCAACTGAAGCTGCAGTGATTGGTCTAAACGCCACCAACGACGACATCATCAAAAGTAGCAGCAGCAACAACAACGTCAACGGCGATGGCGGCGAGGACAACGCCGATGCCGATACCGATACCGCAACTGAGAGGGGGCTGGAGAAACGTTCCGTAGCTAAGACCAGCAGCAGAGACAGCAGCGTCGTCATTGGTAACAGATGGACGAGGAGAAAGAGAGCCGTCAGGTTCTGCACTGTGCTCAAGGTTTACCTCATTCCACGCGCGAAGGACTACAGCGAGAGGTACGATATTGCTCGCGATACGCCGGTTATCCATACGTTTTCGCTCATTTGCCGGCCGTTCTTTTGTATTGCTAGGGGCAGCCGCCCGCCCGACCGGTGGGTGGAGCGGCCAATCCGCGTCCTTGATCGCGGACAAGCCGGGAGTGCATTTGCCATTCGACACGCTTGCGCAGAGTTTTGCTAAATCGTCTCTTTCCCCGGACCTCGCTTTCCGATCCCAGTGACGCCAGCAGATGTTGGTGGTCAAGGGCACAGCTCGACCGGAACCTCCGCGAGTTTCAGGAGTCTCGCTTGTTGGCGACCGTGGCACCGACGACGAGGAGAGCAAGACGAACGGCAACAACGCTGACCACCACCACCACCGCCACCGCCACCACCACCACCACCACCACCACCACCCGTACAACGGCAGCCACCGCACCCAGGAGCGGCTCCGCCGTACTCGGTTCCGCCGTCGGTTTCCGGCGCCGACGGCCGAGGGACCGCTACCGGCAGCAGCAGCAGCAGCAGCAGCAGCTGCAGCAGGGGCGGTCGTTCGGTAGGAGTTTTGTCGGCCCCGGTGGGGTGGATAACACCAGTTGGTGAATACAACTAAGCCATGGCGACGCCCAAACCCCAGAGGTAAATTTATGATGGTCGCTTGGGTACTGATTTTCCGGGCGGGTACATACGGGGGGGCACAGCAGCAGCAGTGGCAGCAGCAGCAACGAAAAGCAATACATGAACTCTGAATATATGGGCATTTCGGCGGTTTGATAAAGGAGGAGAGGCGAAGAAAGTGTTTTTCTATCTCTTTTCATTATGTTGGCGCCGCGTTATACGACACTGCACCTCGAGCTCCCCGACCGAATGAAGCACAGCTGGTGTATTTCTGACACATGATCTGGTGTAACGGCAAAGGACGCAGGAGGGTGGGGGATTACAATCGATCGGAGGGAATATGAAAGGGGGATGGTATTTAAACACAAACCGCAGAAAAAGTGGGAGCATGATTGCTTGTTGCCGTTTCGCGTTCAATCCCTGCACCTACTAGCGGAGGGTTGTGACGAGAACGGGTTGTTTATCTGCCGCCTTGAACGAAGAATCGTCCATGTGTGGAACCATGGGTCTGTCATGGGAATAAAGGTTTTGTTCTTTTCAACTTACGTACATTGGCGTAGTGTAAAATACATGTCTTGCTTCCATTGTGGTACTTAAGGTTGTGCAGGTGTGCGTTGGCCTTTTTTGTGTGCGTGTGTGTTTTGGGTTTGATCGAAGATATTCGATACGGTGGTGGTTGATGCGTTTATTTTGTGTTTTGCGGCCGGAGGTGGGGGCACTCGTGGTTTCGAATGGTTAAAGGGGAAACTGAGTAGCACTCTGAACGATGTTCTCAAGAATCATAGGCATTTTAGTTCGTACTCTGCTTGGGCTTTATTGGAGCATATATGGCCGGTGGCTTGAATATTTAATGGCTTGGATGCGCACCCCCTCCTCTTCGTGCTCAGTGCGTTGTGTGTTTTATCTTACGGTAACCTCATGTGGGCTGCTGTCTGGGAGTACTCTGTTGGCGTTGAAAGTCTCTCTCCGTTGGCTCTGTCGATTATTTCTACATGGCTGACGGC